GTTCGTTATGTTTCTGTTGATTCTGTGCACAATAAATCGTCCCGTATTTAGGTATGGTACCACGTATTGATCCGTCTTCAACTGTCGCTCACTCTTCCGCTTCTTCTTATCGATCCGATTTTTCGAGTAGACGAAGAAAATTGCCACGCACCTCATTCTTTGTACGGTCTCATATTTTTTTATGAATCAGGTCCAAATATGCTTCTTTCACTGTTAAAAACAATTACCAGGAACATATTTTGCAAAAAAATCTGGCCGTGATAGCGCATTTGGTGTGTGGCAGTGATAGCGGGGACTAGACAGTGACGGGATACAAATAGAAGAATAGAGGAATTTCACTTGGATGTCATGTGTGTGAAGACATTTTATGATGCAGTCTGTGTTTCATCCCTTAACTGTATACACAGACCGAACTATGCATACGGGTAGGAGCGGGATTCATCTGTACAGTCTTCTACCCGCTATGTTTTGAATACTCGTGTAACTAATTTGCAAGACGGATAAGCGAAAAAAAAGAGATACAAATGGAAGGGAAGAAGAGAAGTTAACACGTGATACGGGCAATCCTGAGAGCACTGGGCATTCCGAGACAAAAATATTGCACCGCCGCATTTCATCCCACTAAAATTGGCTACTAATAATCAGTGTATGTCTGGCCAGTAGCTGGTAATGTAGAAAAAATCAAGCACTTGTGCGCACTATACAATGCGATGTGGAGAACAACGTGGCGAAGTAAATTAATGTGGAATCTAGTACGCCAGGCGCTTGCGCAACAAACAGTTAGGATAAAGGAATTGCATATGTAAAACTGAAGGATCTTGTTTCTGTCGAAATGAAAAAATTTATTTTCTAGCAAATCCATAGTTTAAATTGTACCCTTTTACTTTTCGTGTTTCAGAACTGAACAGCTGACCGTATATCTTCCCGCTTTTTCCAAACTTGTCAAAAATCTGGTTTTTTTTTTTCGTCAAATACTCCCTCTTTTTTACAGGACTATCTGAAAAGTATGGATTTATTCTTAGACTGACATATTGACATGTACGGAGGAAGCCAGATGCCATGCAACAGAAGTGCACTCCGATAACACACACACACACACACACACACTTCGGCAAATTGTTTGTCCGGATGGTATCGCTTGAGACGTCCCAGCTTTTCATGCAAGAAATCCCAGAGTGTTTTTCGACGTTGTTCAGCACAATATTTTTAATTTACATTGTTTTAATTTTTTACATTCAAAGTTATTTGTGTACATGCAGTCGTTGATTACCGGATGGGCCAGAATCTGGAGGGGAGTTTTAGTCCACTGTTGGGCTGAATGAACAAGTTGTACAAAATTCCCTGTTTTTATTTAAATCTTTAACAGATTCTCTACTTTTACAGCTTTGTGCTGGGCATCCTCTCAGTATCTGCTTGCTGTACATTTCACGCATGTTCAAAATGAAGTGAATAATGTTATAGGCTTATTTGGCTTCCTCTTCTGGTGTCTTTTTATTGCTTATCATTTCTTGGAAGAGTCATTTCAAGACTTTTGCATTGCTGTGTTGTGAAATAACCCTTAAGTACGGGACGTATTGCAGAGGGGCACACTGCAATTCCTATTAAATTTATGGTTTTGATTACAAAGCCGAACCAATTTTTATTTGCTTATGAAACTTTTCTTGTTTCTGTTTTACAAAAATTACACTGCTTCTTGCAATTGGCAACTGTCCAGTCAATTTATTGTATCACTCTTCCTCTCTCTCTCTTTTGACCATTATGCTGTTTTTTTCTTTTTTTTTTTTTTCATATAGTGCACAATAAGAGTGTTTACAAAATAATTGTTCGCTTTATTTACACGATAGGAACAAGTCCTAATGTTTAATTTGCAAGCAGCAACAGAATGCTAGTAATCACAGTGCCTCGTTGTTTTAAAGAAGCCGATTTCGATGAAAAGGCATTGTTTTGGAAGAAGTTAACAGTTACGTCTATCTTGGCCAGCAAATAATTATGCACCACCACTTCTAGGCCGAAAATTGCATACATCAAAGGGCTACCTGCATTGTAATATAATTTTTATGCGTTTTGTGCTGTGTAACAGCAGTACAAAACGCGTATTGTCACGGGGTTGCCTGTGTGTGTGTCCGCAGCAACTTGTCCGCAACTTTCAACTCGGGGACCACAAAAGCTAGGAAACTGAAAATTTAGGGAGTGTTCCCCAGCCACGTGTTACCCCGCAAATTTAAATTCAGCTTTCCCTTACCCGCGGGTGACACGTACGACCCCGTGAAAGTTTTTCACGCGTTAATATCTCGGGAACCACAGAGTCTAGGAGGCTGAAATTTTAGGGGGATGACCCCTTGCTCCTGCTGAACCTTGCCCATTCAAACTGCATAAATTGCACACTGCCCAAATCAAATTGCCCATTCAAATTACACAAAACGTATGATCGCACCGGCTAGCCTGGTGCGCGTTGCTATTTATCGATATATGCAGCAGCACATAGTGCATACGGAAACATAGTGATGAGATGATGATGGGGGAAATGCGAAGAGATGTGACGGTGTTTAACCTTATCCACCCCAAAAGAGATCCTGTAGTAGCTGCATTAGGGTCGATCCCCTAAAGCGCTAAATAGGTGTTTAGAACTGTTAGCTTCTAAGAGAGCTGACCAGTAGTAGTTGAAGGGGAGAAAATACTAAAACTCGGGTCAGCTCCAGTATATTGTGAAATTTTGGAGCAAATCGCACCCATTTCTGCATTACTGAGACACAGCACACCTACCTTTGGCGTTGGTTCTCCATGTGTCGCAAACGCTGCGTGAAGTAATTTGGAAGAGGGGGGGGGGGGGGGGGGGGGGGGGGGGGGGGGGGA